AACCATAACCACAATCATATAAACAGAAATCTATTTTATAGCAATATATTGGGGGGGACATTTTGAGCATATTTGAATATTGGGGGGGGGGGGGGGTGTGGGGATGTGTCCGATCCCAATATATATTATAATTTCGGCCTTGGTTTCTGTGACTTCGCAAAGAGCAAAATTACGTACAGTCAGTCTTCAACTTACGAACACTCGCACTTATGAACCAGTTTCCATGAAATAATAGTTTTTTGACCATTAACTTAACACGCGAACTCTAACTTGTGTAATAAACGACTTCCACCACTTGTTGTGACTTGCGTCTTTCTTTATTAGTTGCGACTGCTCGGCTTCACACCCTCTTCCCAGATGGTCTCTCTCTCTTCCACACCACAGCACACACTCGCTGCTTCTCCGCCTGCGCGTGGCTTCTCTCGCCCTCGCGTTCCCCACACCCCGCTCTGTGGCGGAGAACACTCGCTCGCTGTCCTCGAGGTTGCCACGTGGTCGGTGGCTGACGAGGCGGAGGAGACGCAGTCCGGACCCAGGCTTCCACACCCAACCCCGAGTCCCCCTCTCGCCTCCCCTTATATCTCTCTGAAGCCCCGCCTCTAACCATGCCCCCCTCAGAACCTTCCTGATGGTTCCCGCGTACCCCCGCGAGCTCCGCCCGTGAACTTCGGCCCAGATGGAACCCATAACCCTGATTGGCTATCGCCGATGAGGCAACGCCTATGCAGCCTTTCGCCACCCGTCGGTGTGCTCTCTCATTACATTACCCCCCCCCCCCCCCCCCGGGAGAAAAAACCAAGCCGTCCCGGCTAGGAAAAGGTAAGGCCAGGCAATGGAGAGCAATTCCGAAGATACTGACGAGCACAACAAAACAACAAGCATAACGAAAACGAAGAACATGACAAGCACAACAACCCAACAAGCATAACGAACACGAAGAACGCCGCATGACCGAGCAACACCAGAATTTAACGAAATCGGACGGACTTGGAACGGGTCCGCGACGCCGGACCATCCCCAACATTGCCGTGCGGCCCCGCCGGCTCTGACGCTGGGAGAGGGGGAGGCACTGACAGCGCAGCGGTGGGCGTGTCCTCCATGGGGCCGGCTCGCGTGGAGCTGTCAGCAACAAAAGTCCTCAGGACCTGGGCGGCTGTGGGCGGCAAAACAGAGACCTTCGGGAGATCAACCGGCAACTGGTTAAGCGAGTCGGACACATCGGATCCCAGCATGCCAATCTTTGGAGACGACGAACCGATGCGCAGGGAAAAGAAGGGTTTTACCCGGGATGTATGGACGAACCAACGACGGGATCCACCAATCCACAAGCACTTGCCACGGCCTGTGCAATTTCGGAGAGGTGCCCACCGGCACCTGAGGGAAATGGAGCTAGGACCGATCACTCACAGACCACGACATCGTGCGGCCAGACCGCCGCGCAACACTCGTTGCGCTCCTGAGTTTTGGTCATACCAATACGCGCCGCTTCCCGTGCTTCAGCAACGCGACGTATGGAATCGTGAACGTGTTCGGGATGGGTCTGCTTGGGCTCCTTTACGGCCATCCCTAATTGTGCGTCAATGTGCGGGGCATTCTCCCGGCCGTACATGAGAAAAAATGGAGAGTAGCCGGTGGAAGCCTGTGGGGCCATCCGATAAACGGAGAGGACGCCAGGTATGTGCAAATCCCAATCGGCCTATTTTTCACTGACAATGTGGCAAAGCATGGCGGTTAAGGTACGATTTAGGCGCTTGACCATCCCATCCGTCTGCGAATGGTACGGCGACGTCCGGATCTTTTTAGTGCCCAATGCGTCGCAGACATCGCACAGAAATTTTTATGAAAAATTTAGACCTTGATCTGTGAGCAATTGTTCTGGGGCACCCTTGTCCATAATGTAACCATTTATAAACGCCTCGGTGATGGAGGTTGCTGATTGGTCTGGCAACGGCCACGCCATCGGCCAGCGGGAAAAATATTGGACCCCCACCAAGAGGAATTTATTGCCCCAGGGGGATGTTGGGAACGGGCCCAAGATGTCAAGGGCTACAAGCTCATTAATGCGGGTAACAGAAATACACCGTAAGGAAGGGACATATTTTTGCCGCGGTGGTTTCCGTCATGCACAGTCAGGGCATCCGCGAATAACCTCAGCAATTTGGGCCGTCATGCCAGGCCAAAAGTAACCTCTTTGCTACGTGAGCATGGTTTTCTGCATGCCCAAGTGCAATAGCTTCTCGGCATGCAGCACTCAAACCAATTCATGCCGGAGCGCAACGGGAACAACCACACGCCACCGGCCAATCAGGTCTTCCCTCGACATCAAAAAGCCGTCTTGCATCTCCACTCGATCGTCGTCATCTGCCACAGAGGAGTCTAGCGAGCGATCAGCACGGCGCCACAAGGAAACTAAAGAGTCGTCCACTAATTGCTCGCGCACCCACACCAAGCGCGGAAGAAGCAAGACGCCATCAGCCGGCCCCGCACTGGCATGCACCACGGAATCCGTCACTGTGGACATGACAGGACGGGGGGGCGGAGGGACGCGCGTGCACCGGCCGGTACCCGACGAACACGCACACGGGGCACTGTGAGACAACCAAGAGAGTGTGTCCGCATTACTGTGCCGGGAGCCTTACATCAAAGGAGAACTCCTGCAAGGTCTCCAGCCAGCGAGACAGCTGACCAGATGGTTGCTCAATTTTTAAAAACAGTTCCCTTCTCCTCACACAATAGCGGCTCTCAGCCGGTGAAAGGACATGGCTGCCATACGCAACCATTCTTTCTACACCATCCTTGGATTGGGACAAGACAGCGCCGATTCCCATATTGATGGCATCGGTGTCCAATATAAACGGCAATTATAAATCTGGGTAATCGAGCGTCGGCGCAGCCGCTAAGCGATCGTGAAGGGCCACAAACGCAGCCTCCTCAGCCGGTCCCCAGCTGAACCTCTGATTTTTTGCGGTGAGTACGTGCAGAGGTTTAGCGATCGTAGAAAATTGTGGAACGAACCGACGGTAATATGACGCGCCAAAAATGGCGGCCTCCTGCCGCGTGGCGTCCACCGCGTGCGTAATAGCGGCGATGGATTCCTGAGAGGGATGTCCAAAGATCCCCTGAAGAGGCCCCTGCTCGCCGCTCCTCGGCGACACATCCCGTGGCCGCTCTGTGGCCGCGGATGACGCGACCTGCGTCACAAGCTGGAGAAGAACGGTGCGGAGCGAGTCCAGCTGCTCCGCCACCTGCTGCCAGCCGTCGGGCACCCGCGAAGACGAGGACGCCCCCCCCGCGCTGTCCATTTCTGGCGCGGCGACCGCCCCAGCCGTGGTTGCAGTAACCGGGTCCACGGTACCCGGGGTCGGCAGGTCCTGGGTGGCCTAGTCGTCATCGTCAGAAGACGCCACAGATAGGTTGTTCTTTTTGGGGTGTTTAGACATCTTCGCGCTCTGTAGCATTGACAACTTCAAAAAGAACCACTTCTGACTCCAGTTGTAATAAACGACTTCCACCACTTGTTGTGACTTGCGTCTTTCTTTATTAGTTGCGACTGCTCGGCTTCACACCCTCTTCCCAGATGGTCTCTCTCTCTCTTCCACACCGCGGCATGCGCTCGCTGCTTCTCCGCGCGCGCGTGGCTTCTCTCGCGCTCGCGTTCCCCGCACCCCGCTCCGTGGCGGTGACGGAGAACACTCGCTCGCTGTCCTCGAGGCTGCCACGTGGTCCGTGGCTGACCAGGCGGAGTAGACGCAGTCCGGACCCAGGCTTCCACACCCAACCCCGAGTACCCCTCTCGCCTCCCCTTATATCTCTCCCGGTGGAGCGAAGCCCCGCCTCTAACCACGCCCCCCTCAGAACCTTCCTGATGGTTCCCGCATACCCCCCCGCGAGTTCCGTCCGTGAACTTCAGTCCAGATGGAACCCATAGCCCTGATTGGCTATCGCCGATGAGGCAACGCCTATGCAGCCTTCCGTCACCCGGCGGTGTACTCTCTCATTACACTTGCAAATTGAACCACGGCACTATTTTGTTCAGCTGAGCGATCCTCCGCGAGATGTAAATGAGTCAGCCTCGTGCTGGGATTGAGTGCTTGTGTGTGTAGGCATTTAAATACAGTAGATGACTGTGTTCCGACTTACGAACAGACACCGGGAACTAAGTGTGTACCTAAGTCAAGGACTATTCGTATTCATGTATGTTAAACTTAATTCGCGCCGTATGTAGCCACTATCTCTCTGGATGTGTTATGAAGGACCACTGTCCAAATCGTTACATATATTTCCTTTTTGAGGCAGGGCTATTGACGAATGTGTGTTTTTGTAATGTGTGTGCATGTGCACTGCTGTCAACGCGGTATCACCAAGTAATTTGCTCTAAATTACATTCTTGCTCGGTGTCTTCTGTTGTATATCATGTAAACATTATTTAGTACCATACCTAGCCAAACGTGCTAATCGGATGTGGGATGGGAGGACAACAAACTAAACACAAAAATCAGCTCTAAAAAAAAAAGTTTTCAATCTAGCTGATTTAAAAGTGCATAGCTCCAGTGGCTTCCTAATATTGGAAGGAAGAGCGTTCCAGACGGCCGCAGAAGCGCATCTTGAAGACGCCCGATGCGGTGACCCGTCTCTGTTCCATGGCTATACAACATCTCGCTTCTGTGGGAATAACCGGAGTTGATTGATACTTCTAGATTTGAAGCTTTCGTGACTGCAAGGATTCATATTCTTAGGTTTTTTTCGGTAAAGTCACGTAGGTAAAAAATTTTAATTAACAAAAGTAAAATAAAAATAAAATAAAAATCACGACCGTCACAGCACGATTGCTGCATCTTGATTTTTTTACCTACGTGACTTTACCGAAAAAACCTAAGAATATTGATACTCCTTGCCGTGGCGTCATGCCAACAACAGCAGCTGCTGCAAAAGGAGGAAGTGTGACCGGAGGTGACGTGGTGTGCCGCACAGCGTTAGTCCATTTATTTACGTAACAGCATCAGACAAAATCTGGGGCGGAATAACTTGTTCCGTGTGTGAGTTGTATAAAGTGGGGCACACGACTCAAGGCGAAGTCGGTGAGAGTGCAGCCCCTCACACGACGGCCATTACGTCTTGTTGGTCACAGCAACAGCTCAACTCAGGCGTGACAATGATTCCCCTCGTCCTCATTGTACTTTTGGGTCCTGGTAAGTTCTGATGTACTTTGTTGTTGTAAATAATGGGAGTGCATTCGAGGCATGATTATATAAATAGCACAGTGCAGGTCCACTGTGCCGTGCTAGTTTGTACTTTATGCAATATTATTCAAACCTCGTCTCAAAAAGATGAAATATTTCCAGTCTTTGACAACAAACAATTTTTATATGAGCAAAAATTAGTGACAGGGCACACTTGATTTGAGGCATCGCCGTTCGTTCCTGATGATTGTTTTTTTAACCAATAAGCATTTTCAGGTCTGGCTGCTGCCGCCTACGCCAAGGATGCGCAGTGCGAGGGCGATGGTGGCGTGTGCCAGTACACCAACGTGGCTTGCGATGGGAAGAACGTCAAGGGCAGGTGCGGCGGACCCGCCAACCGACAGTGCTGCATGCGTGAGTCCGCATTTCACACGCCGCGACAACACCCCTTACATGACGCGGGCCGCGAATGGTGTCGTCTGAAAGAGGTCAATGTGAAATGACCCCATACGTGCGTGTCGCGTGGGTTCAAAGTTGCGAGCGAAATTAAACGAATTTCACCAATGTGTGCTCCTGATGTGTAAGAGTTGGACGGCGTATGAGGGCTGCACCACTTTTTTTGTTTAGCATTACTAACTTCAAGCAGTGTTTCTTTCCACGGCTGAGTGAAGGCTTCCTCCGCCCTTGCTGCCGCTAAACATCACGGTCCTGGGATGCTACAGCCTTGCATCTGTAGATGTACCGTACTGATCCCACGACTCTTATCTCCGCTTACATTCCATCGTGATGGCCAAGCAAATTGGCCACCATCCCTTCGAGCAATGGTGTCCTGCCCAAGCCGACTTGTTTTTTTCTGAAGGAAATGTCTCCGATTTGCATTGTTTCTAGACACTTGCACTTATAAAATCTTAAGTGTAATGTTTAGAATGCATTTCCGTGCTCTTGTTAGATGTCATGTTTTGAATCCACGCCATGGCTGTTAGTATGCAGGTATTGATTAGGTAATATTGAAAAAAAAAATTCAGTCTTATAATAGTGTAGAGGAGTACCGCGAGGACCGAACGAGGGGCGAGTGCGTGAAGGGGGACGTAAAAGGAGGAGCCCGAAGAAGGGGGATAAAAACGGGGGATCGGAAGAGGAGAGAGCGGAGAGAGTTGGAGGGAGCGGGGGTAGCGAGCGCCCGTGACGAGGGGAAGTGTGGAGAGAGAAAGAAGGAATAAACGGCGGGCAGCCCTGAACATAATCTGGTCTCCGTGTGATCCTTGATACCCGGGGACGAAGTCCTGCACGACAAAAGTACCATTGTTTTATAGAGTGCCTGGCCTGCACCATCGGAATGCAGAATTTCCAGAACTGGCTTATGGACTACTATTACTGATGAACACTTCCCAATGCTCATTTTGAGTATGGATGCACTCTGGTTTATTTTGTAACTACCTTGACTACCCGGCTTCGCCCGGGACTTGGATTCACCACGCCCGGCCGCCTTTGTCTCCCCAGTGGTGATGTTCACACACCACACCAGTTAATCGTTTGAGGCTGAGTCGACCTAGGGGAGGCCCAGGACCGGTTCAAATAATCGTCACCGGTGTTGGCCGTGAGCGGGAATTCGAACTCGGGTCGGTGGGTTAGTAGCGCAGCGCGCTAACCACTACACTACCGCTCCCCCCACACACAAATGCACGCACATCCATATTTACACATATACGCGCTTGCTGCAGACACACACAACTTTCAGGGTGCGTACGGCAGTAAACGACTCAAATAATAAAGCAATGCTGCGCGAAGAATGCCTTAGATCTGCAACACATTTGTATTTCACTTTATCCGCGATCAGCAGGCACACTCCGTTACGCTTCCGCACACGGGTCACATGACAGATGTGACGTCATAGCTCACTTGCCGTGCAAAATATATGCATAATTGCGCCCCCCCCCCCCCCCCCAAAATACAAAAGTCTATTTTTATACTTTTTCATGGTGTACAGTCTGGAAAGTACCCACATGGCAAATTTCAAGTTTGTTGCATATTCACAAATTTTCCTTTTATATTTTGGTAATAACATTGCAAAATATAGCAAGTTCTTGTGGCAAACAAAAAAAAGTGAAGATTGTGTATTCTTGAGTATGAAAAATAAGAATAGGTTTTACCCTTTTTGGCAATATAACAGATGTTAAGATGTTCAAACACCAAATAGATACATTGTGCAAGGAGTTAAGTCTGCATTAACCACACGTACTTGTGGCAAAGCATGCAAACAAACATGCTCTGATAAATCACGACGTTTCGGGCGCAACACAAGCGTCGCTTGTGTTGCGCCCGAAACGTCGTGATTTATTTCATTTTATACCTACGTGACTTTACCGAAAAAAACAAAGAGTATGGATTCCTGCAGTCACGAAAGCTTCAAATCAAGAATGCTCTGATAATATATGCATTATCTTTGAAACTGACTGTCTAACACCAGAGACAGCATTCTTTATGGACTTGAATCACCAGTGTCAGACCAGAGAACGCCGAAAAGCGAAAGAGTGCAAAGCCAATGCAAATATCAGAGTATTTATAGCTCGGGTTGAGCAGGTTACACTGGAAATCTATGGGACCTTTTTGCCAGTATCAAAGTATTAAAATATTCATCTTCTTGGTTTTTTAGGTAAAGTCACGTAGAAGGGAAGTAATAAAATAATAAAAATAAAACATAATAAAATAATTCTCACGAAGTTTCGGCCACAACACAAGCAGCCGTACTCAGGTGAAGACCAGGTCTGTCGGGGAGACAGCGTCTGAATTGTATTACTTCCCTTCTACGTGACTTTACCGAAAGAACCAAGAAGATGAATCCCTGAAGTAACGAAAGCTTTAAATCGAAATATGAAAATATTATCAGAGCATGTTTGTTTGCATGTTTTGCCACAAGTAAGTGTGGTTAATACAGACTTGATTTCTTGCAAAATGTTTCTATTTGGTGTTTGATCATCTTAACGCCTCCTGATTTATTGCCAGAAACGGTTAAACCTATTTTTCTTTTTCATACTTTGATACTGGCAAAAATATCCCTTAGAGAATATGTTTTGAATGTGCAGTTCTGTAACGAAACGTGTTCTTTGTGTTCAAATTTAGCAGCAGCAGCAGCAGCCACTGGGAATGTAAAGTGGAATCTGATTTGTGATGGACAAACGGCCAACAAGCTGAGAGGCTGCGACAAATATGGTTGTGGTAGCTATGGGGCATGTCGGTAAGACTCCTCATTCACTCGTCACACACACTGGGGCTGTACGAGGCCAAATAATTTAGTCCTTGTAGGTCAATTAAATTGTTCAGTCCACAATTCCTGTATTTTTTTTCACAACAGGGGTGTCCGTTGAGTGTAATCGAATTAATGTTTTAACCATTAACTATCCCTAGTGCCCTCTAGTTATAGTTCATACATTTAAGGTGATGGCTAGTTTGTGATTACTGCAAAATGTACTTGCGACATTTTAGGGATACATTAGTCATTCATGCATGTATTTTTATACCATCATGCATTTTTTTATGATCGCCGTTTTTGCACATTTGGCTCAATTCTCATTTGCAATTAACGTGTGTTTCCACGTGACAATATCGCCCCGCGGGTAGCTAAAAGATTCCAAATGTAGCCAATGCTTTAAAAAAGTTACCACCCCCCTGGTTTCCACACGTGACATAACCAGAAAGTTGCATGTGCAATTCCATGCCGACAGAGCCATGAACCCTGCATGGTGAATGAATGACTACCATTATGCTGGAAGTGAACATTGGATGTCCTATGTGAGGGGGGAGGGGCTGACTCCAACCAGATTTTCATCAATAGTTCAGAGCCATCAGCAATCAGAATCTGTATTTATCCTGCAGGAATCTGATGAGCTATGAAGCTCTATTTTACAGATGCTCAGTAGGGGCGGGTCGGCAAGTTACAACAACAAACAATGCAATGACGAGCATGATAACAATACTGTACTCACTTGTGCATTAAGGCTCTATTATTTATATACATAATCTACTTTGCATTGATAATTAATCAAGGTCACATAGGAACTCTACCTCTTATATGCTCTATATTTTAACATGCAGAATTTGACTTCTTTCCTTTACTACAGATCTGGCCACAAACACATGGGAGTGGACGTGGAGTGCCCGGATGGCTCTGTCGTGAATGCACCATTCTCAGGGAAAGTGAAACGCCAGGCCAAGCCCTACAAGAAGGACAATGTCATCAATGATGGAGTGGAGTTTTCCAACGATGGTAAGTCTACATTCTTGATCAATCCTTCATCTCGCAGTGCACCAGGGTAAACACGTTACGTGTTGATGTTGCTGTGTCAGCAGTGGTGCACAATTAACAAAAATAAATCCTCAACACCTTCATCAATTATACTGCCTTAAAAGAATGCACAGGAATCCCCCGCTATATGTAAGGGATACATTCCTGGAAAATGCTACATCACTCGAAATTGCATAAAGCAGACTCTGGTTTCCTGCAGACATGTGCAAATCAGGGGTTACGTTCCTCTTTAACATTTATGTAAAAAAAATGCGTGACTAAATGTCATGGAGAGTACAAACATGCATATCATAAGTTAACATTAAGTATGATTCATAATAAATCCAAATAATTAGATCAATCTTAACAGAGATGGCTTAAGAGCTTTGCTGATCGAGTCCTTTCGATTTAAAGCTTTCGTGACTGCAGGGATTCATCTTCTTGGTTCTTTCGGTAAAGTCACGTAGAAGGGAAGTAATAAAATAATAAAAATAAAACATAATAAAACAATGAATGAAATCATTCAGACTCTGTCGCCTCGACGGACCTGGTTTTCACCTGAGGACGGCTGCTTGCGTTGTGGCCGAAACGTCGTGAGAATTGTTTTATTATGTTTTATTTTTATTATTTTATTACTTCCCTTCTACGTGACTTTACCGAAAGAACCAAGAAGATGATCGAGTCCTCTTGGGGTGAACAGTAGTGGAGTTACTCAGACGAAGGGGCAGGATTACCTGCTTCTTCATCCGACGATGACGCTGGAGCCACAGGAATGTTCTGTTGTATATATTAGGTTTTGGAAAATAATAAAAATCACAAAAATTTAATGAAAATAACAAATCAGTAATTGTACGAAATTATGCTAATTTATAGAATTATGCAAATTGTGCATTTGTGTTAATTGGGCTCTGGTTTGTTGTCTCGTGGTTTTAGCAATCGTGAAAATAAAATGAAGGTGTAATTGTTTGAAGTTATGCAAGTGTATGTAATTATGCCAATTCGGCTCGGCTTCCTTGTCTAGGGTTGTATTCACTATCGTGATAATACAATGAAAAAAATATCATTCATTAATTATGCTAATGTTTGCAATTATGATAATTAGGCTCGGCTTCGTTGTCTAGGGTTGTATTATCAATCGTGATAATACAATTATTCTCGCTTTAACTTTTACTGATTATGTTTTAGTGTGTTTTATGTCAGATCTCAACATTATTTTCATTAGGATTATTATGCATGAACTTAGGAAGGCACCACTCAAACTCTTCTGTGTTAAGCAACTTTAATATCTAAAAACATAACACTTTAATATGCGAACACTTATGCTAGGCATTGTCAACACAGTACTCCTGGAGATGTCCTCCTCATTGATCAGTACAATTAACCCTCAATGGTTACGTTTGTTAAACTGGGTTACAGAACAATCGGCTAATTCCTCAGAGTAAAGCGACCATACACAGTCAAACAAATATTTAATCTTCAACAGAAGTAAAGAAACATGGCACTCGCCATGCAAGTCATCCTGTCAGAACATTGAATTATGCTATCGATGAAAATGAACGGCATCTTTTAAAATCTGCGTCATCCGATATGATAATAAAAGTAAAAAATTGTTGAAAATTTTTTTGCGGATAATATTTTTAGGCTTACTTTGGTTTTCTCTCTCAACAATTTCAAATAAAATCTGCTTATCTGCGGTACACAGCGTGCTCCCATCAAATTATGGCACAGACTAAATAATGAATGTATCAGTAATGACATCTGTCAAGCGGCGATATTAACATGGGGCAGCAGTACAAACTGTATAAAGTTATCACTGAAGGCCTACGAAACAGAAGTTCTTGGGGCCTACAAGAACCTTAATCCGGCCCTGAGTTTTATCCAAATTTCCGTGCCAGGCAGCCAAGCTCATGTTAGCTACAACCGTCCAGGCACCCAATATATATGTGGGGAACACATATCGTTTCACAACTTGGATTTTTTTTACACTGAAAGGTAATCAGTTACCCAAAGGCGATAATTAGCCAGCTGAAGACGTACAGAATAACCATTGTGGGCATCAGAAGCTCGCTCGGAAATAACAATCAACGCACCACTTGCATTACAAGCGGACGACAAATCGTAATTGTTTAAAAGTACGTGTAACATTTCCTGTTTTACTCTTTGTGCTTCTCCAGACTTCTGCATCAAGATGTTCTACATCCATCCTGACCGCTATACCGGCTCAATTTCCAGCGGCCATAAAGTTGGGCGTCTGCTGAAAATGCAGAGCGTTTACTCTGGAATCACCTCCCATGTCCACATCCAGATGTGCGACAGTTCCAAAGATCCAACACCTTACATAATCTAACGGAGGCATAATTTTCATAAGAATTACTTTGCTTTTTTAGCTTCTGCTATATTTGTAAATCATATCCCAAATATAACAATGGATTGACAAATTACTTAATACATATAGTTTATAGATTTAGACCTCACAACCACAAGATTATACACTTATTTGTGCATATGGCTAAATATAAACGTTAAAAAAGAAGTTTCGATATTTAGGTTCAGTTTATTGTGCCAATTGATGGTGTTTGTAGAAACAGTCTGTAGCTCCTTCATTCCTCCATTGGACAATCTATCGCATTGGTATGGTCCATTGTTTGAGGCATAGAGCTGCAGTCTCATTTGGAGCTTTACTTTATTTTCAATTTGTGCATCAGATGTGATCTCAGTGGGACCCTCTAACCACACCTCTGAGTCACTGATTACATGTCACCTGGCCAAGTTTAACCAAATTTTAATTTTAAAAGCATAATACAGTAAATATCAACTTATGCTTCTCTACTGCACTAAATATGTGATTTATATCAGTCCTAATTTGGAGAAAATAAAATAATACATTGGAAAATTGGCTTGGGAATAGTGTATAACAACTAATCCAGGGATTTGGACGCAATAGTTGGGGCAGAGATTGCAGTGCAGCTAATAGCTTGGTGAACCTCCTGATGTGTAGTTTTTCTCTGGATACTCGCATTCCTTCTTACAAGCAAACCATTCCTTAAATACAATTGGCCATGAATCAAAATGCAGGCATCTTGAGCACCTGAGGTTCTACAAGGACCAATGACACAAACGTCATCAACCATGGTCAATCCACTAACGGATGAGGGCTGCTGCAGTATGAGAATTAGTATTGATTTTCAACTGTTTTGGATTTTTGATTCTCAGCCGGAATGAAAGTTCAGATCGTCAACCACAGTAAAATCTGGTCATCTGGTCGCATAGCATTACATTATATGTTCATGGTCACTTCTAAAACATTCGTGTCATACATGATATGTGTCGCACATGCACCTTAAAAATCCAGGATGCTGCACAGACCTATACGAATCTGTATGCTGTGTTAGCATGCAATCTCATAAAATTAATGGATGAGAGAGTACCGTCGTTAATTTTACACTTGAGTCCTATATTTGTATTAATGTTACTTCTTGGTTTTCGGATGCCTATACAGTATTTGTACTGCTTCCTGTGGGTTTTAATTGCTGGCGTGCTTGCACAAGACCTTATGAGATGCTCATGTTGTAGTGTAGAGAATACACATTTCTGGAATGGGCTGGTTTGTTTCACTTGAGTGCTTGCTTTGTATTCCAATTCATCACTGTCACGTTCTGCTGATGGTGTTCATAATTGTTGCGCAGTGATGAGTGTTACAAATAGCATGTTTAATCAGATAATTATCAAAGGCAGATACTGATAACCCAGTACAGTATTTTACTCTGCAATTTCATCATCCAATTACTGAAATTCAAGGACACCAGCATTCAATCCATGTATAGTTTTGGGAATCGCAAGTACTTAAAATGGTCACCTAATTTGCATTGAGTCTCAAATCCCGATGAGGTAAATCAAATATATGCAACAACAACAAGTCACGAAAATGTAGAAGTAGACCACATGTATGAAGATATTCACAAACTTCTAAATTAAAGGAAAAAACTGTTAATGGGTGCTTTCAATGCAAAGGTAGGCAAGAGGAAGAGACTGGGAGTGTGGTGCCACGACCGCGGAGCAACTCCGCAAGTGCTGCGATTCCCTCCCGGCCCCTGCACTAATCACACACCCGCACGCAGCGCACACACGTAGTGTCCTGGCGGGGGATTGCCCGGCACATCGGGTTTTAATCCGAAGAACCCCTAGAAGGGAAGTCCCACGGTTTCCCGGTGCCAGGAGATTGGCTGACCCTCGCAGGACAGGTTACATTGCGGTGCCCCTAAAATTGGCTTAAACTTGTACGGGCGCAGAAAGGAAAAGTTCACTGGGCCAACCGCAATGAGGTACAACATTGGGGGAGGATGGAGGGCGGAATATTAAGCAAGAAAAGCGTAAGCCGGGTGCCCTTCCAGACAATGGGCAACGAGGGACAATGGGTGGCCAACAACACGGAGTACACGGCAACAGGGGGGCGGTAACGACAGGTAAGCACACAATTTGCTACGCAGGGCGGCGTCACACTGGGCCTTTGAAGTTTAAGAGAATAAAAAGAGTATCCTGGGACGATTTTGGGCAGTTGTCTTCAACCTCCGGGCTGTCAAGACCCACCCCCTGCCGCCCTGCCTCTTCGAGCCGCTCACAGCATCCATGTGATGCCAGCGGGTACTGCTATGAGGCAGTGATAGGTGAAGTTTTCTCTCGTCGTTCTCTCTCCGACTCTCACAGTGTCCGTGTGACACCGTGAGTACAGCTTCGAGGTACGTGGTAGGACGTTTGAGTGACTGGGTTCGTAGGCAGAGTCAGGCTAAGCTCTTCTCGCAAAATATTTCCCCTCTAGATTGTGTATATTTGCGCCATTAATAAACTTTAGTACAGAGTATCGGTGCAGTGTGATATCTGTGTGTGTCGCCTGGTGTCTGCGATTTGTGTCTGGTGCGACTGCACGGGGATACGGTGTGCGCGAGAGAGCGAGCGCAGGGCTGCAGCATTGGTTGGTAATTTGAGTGTGTGTGTGCGAGGCGTGCACGTGTATGATTCCTTACCCGCACGCAAACGGCTACCCGTACCCGGCCGGGTACGGCCGGATACGGGTAGCCGGGTATCAGGTAGGGTACGGGTACCCGATAGCGACCTCTGACGTGTATTAAAACATAGACGGCCGCTGACGTGCCCACGTCCGAGCAGCCGTGCCGCTCGAGTATTAGCGTGGAAGCGGGGCGCGTTAAACCCGCTCGTCGACGCTCGCGCGTATTTGCGCGCGAGCGTGTGTGTGGAAACGAGCGCCTGCAGGGGCGCGCGCGTTCACGCCAACGCGTTCGTTTTGTTGTTGTTGTGAGGTGGTGCACGCGGGAGTGTGCGGGATAACCCCGGGCGGTGGTAAGCTAGCCAGTGAGCGATGTCCCTCAGAGATGGCGCAGACGCGGGGGGGGGGGCGATCACTCGATCGGCGGGGGCCCGGCGAGAGGCGGCCGACGAGGGGGAGGAGGGAGGGGGCGGACGTCGCACCCCGCCCGCCCAGCGGGGGCGGGGTGCGTGCGTCGGCCTCCACAGGAGAATGGTTTGTAAATTTGGCATCGGAGGAATGAAAACGATTACGAATCCGTAAACTGGACGTGGAGGAACCCAAATGGTGAATGTAGAAAATAGAAGTTTACACGGCATTTCACTCTGCTGTGTAAATCAGTCCAGAGTTTGCTTGTCTCGACAAAACGCTGCTGAAATTATACACTTCCAGAAAGCCGTGCGGCTGATGGAATGAATTTTTTTCATGTGGAGACGGATAAATGGAATGTTTTTAAATAAATTATTTCAAATATTTGTATTGAAAGTCTATTTATTTCCACATGGTATTGCTTTGAGTGGTTATTGAGTCATACTATTTTACAATTTAGTTGTGATGGTGCTGCTGGTTTGTAAATGAGTCGAGTTATTGTATAACCGTCTGCTCTCTTGAAGCTTATATTCTATGGTTATTTCGGTAAAGTCAGTAGATAGAAAAATAATAACAATAAAATGATAAAAATTACAATAAAGTGAAAAAAAATCACGACGTTTCGATCGCAACACAAGCGGTGTTGCAATCGAAATGTCGTGATATTTTATTGTTTTTTAATCACTTTATTTTAATTTGTATCATTTTATTATTATTTTTCTTTCTATCTACGTGACTTTACCGAAAGAACCATAGAATATGAATTCCTGCAGTCACGAAAGTTTGCACGTCTTGAAGCTGTTATTTCTATCTCGGGCCACGCCACCGCGTGGCCAACCACGGCATCGTCATAGTCTACGCGCATGACGTCATCACGCAAACCGCCGTGCGTGCGGTAAACGTCATCACGCTTCTTTTCACGTTGGTGACGTCATCCCTTAGGTTGGCAGTCGACGTTACGAAGTGAGAACTGCGACCCTCAAAGGAATGGGCCAATCGAATCAGTCGAGACGCCGGTGCATGGCAGCCAAGAGAAGTCGATGCGAACGCTGCACGCAAGAGGTCAACAACGTTTCGGCGTAACGGCCCTTGCTGACTATGAGTGGCACGTCATCACGCTGTACTTGCTTAGCGTGATTACGTCATAAGCTTGGCGTGATTACGTCACAGCTATCGTGACGCCATCACGCCAAGCGCTCTCCTTTAAAGTCGGCGACGTCATCACGAAGACACGTGACCGTGTTTGGGGAAGACGATCGAGATTGTGCCGCGGTGAATCAGCGCGCGTTTAAAACGTTTACAATTAATAACGTCAACATATTAAAAAAAAAACATACGATATACAGCACTCGTGAAGATGTCGTCTCCCAGTGTAAAAGGCGTGTTGGTGGACGATAGCGCGAGGTGAGACGCTCTTTGTCGATTTGGTCGGGAACACGAGTGGCGTGGTACGCGGCACGCAATCCAGGCAAGACGGGAAAAGCCTCGGGACTTAGGCCTCGCGTCAGGTTTGAATGGAAGACGCGACCGAGAACGCAGAGCAGAAACCTTGTAAACGCAATTAGCCTGTGCTCTGTGCTGCCTGAAGTGTAGTATCCTAATGGGTGGCTTGGGTTTAATTCAACGTGTCTTAAGTTTATTGAACGTGTATCATCACATGAAGTTGGTGATGTATGCGATGCGAGGTTTATCGCCGTCTGTGATTGAGGTATTTCTGGGACCATGCAATAATGTTTGTTTATGTTTGTACTCAAAGATCAAGCTCACATCCCTGATGATGGTAGGACACTTTTTAATAACAGATTTTTAACTAATGAAAATTGTAGGTATAGTACTTAATTATCAAACTAAAGTATACAGTGAACACGTTGAATGTATCAGTGTGTGCTGTACATCGTTCTGCGTGAATCAGCCGCTTTTGGGCAGAACTGTTTGCATACCTCTGGGCGTGAGCGCTTGTTTGACCGACAAAGTCTGATGGAGTGGGTTTCGGCGAGCCCTCTCTGGTTCTGAATTGCAGCCTTCTGCTTGTCAGCTGTAAACACTGCCTTGTAAATACAGACCAGAGCTGATGCTAATCTACATTTTGCATTCGTTAACATCTTTAATCTGTTTCTTAAGTCAATGATACCAGGTAGTAAATGACAAATGAATACAATAATTTAACAAGGTGAGTTTATATCATGAAACAAATTGATTGTGCAATATCATCGTCAATAAAAAAAATCTAAATATTTAACAAAAGAATAAGACCATATTGCTGTATGGTTTACGCAGTTATACAGAGGTTTCCATTGTTGAAAAATATTTATTTGCTTCAATCAATGCAGAGTAAATCTAAATTGTCAGTGCTTCCACGCGTGTAAGCCAAATTGAAGCTGTGGATGCTGTAATTGATACGGGATTATTGTGGAAGTAATACGTGCATATTGCCAACAGCTCTGACAATTCCCTGCTGCCCGTGCTCAAGACCCTACTCTTCTTCACCATCCTCATGATCACCATGCCTATCGGCCTCTACTTTGCAACCAAGGTCTATGTCTTTGAGGGTAGGTATTTTCCTGTTTTACGTGATCTGCATTTGAATTGCGATCACCACGTATATGATGACATATCTTGAAGGGTTCGAACTACTGGTACATGTTATTCCTGATTTTGGAGACATTTTATGGGTTGCCTAATCTGGCATCTGGGGAAGAATATATCCATGATCATCTTATGCTCAGGTGATATCGTTTGAGCTTTCATATCATTCCCTGTTTTATCATTATTACCGTGGAAAACATAAATACAATTAGACGTGGAGGTGCAAGTCCCGGAAACTAGATAGAATTACGAACTAATAGGATACCTTTTTGGGTGCAATCAAGCCCGCAGTAAGGGCAGATGCATGGATGAATTTGCCACTCGCATTCAAGTCCTCTATCGGCGTGGCCGTGAGGCACGATCGTTGCCGTGGGAAGGACATCCAGGAGAAGCTTGTCCTTGGAGCAAGACCAGAGGTCGCAAACGGGTTTTGATTCCTAACCCGTACCCTACCCGATACCCGGCCGGGTACAGGTAGCCGGGTATCGGGTAGGGTACGGGTATCGGGTACCCGATTGCGACCTCTAAGTAAGACCACCAGCATCGTCATCAACACTTACACTTTTTTGTTATCAATTATGGTCCAGTTGTGCTGTCGGCATCCTCACACGTCTCGCACGAGGCGACCCTTTGGAACTCTCAAATTAAATATTGATCTCTGAAAACTGAGATCACAGAACTAATAGGGTGCTTACATTGTATTTTATCCACCCTAGGGAGTGCACATCATGCTGTGCTGTAGAGATACATCACATTACATACCTAAATATTTGTATGCATTAAGTCAATTGTCACATTTTTTGTTATGTTTTTTGTGTGAAGTCTTAAATGCATCTAACTGTAATTAAACTACTTGAATGCTGGTTTGATCACAGGAAGTTGCCATGATTTTAAATTTGGATTTTAGTGGTGTCAATCAGTGCCCGCAGTGTTAGCCGTCTGATTCACCCAGCCACCTTATATTATGTGGCGTAAACATCTTCGGATTTGGATACAGATTTGGATTTATTGGGCACTCAAACGCCCTAGCATCTCAAAGTGCCTTACATCCCATTCATTCAAATGCTCATCTGTAGGGGATGCCTGTGGTGCACAATGTAATGCAACACCGGCCTGCAAAGTGGGCATTAGTACGGGGTGATGTTGGACCATGACGGTGGCACACTTGGTCTACTCTTTTTTAAAACGTCACGGGACCTCCTCAACAAGGCCAAGGGCTTAAAATGACTTTTACACTTAAAATGACTGTTACACTTACTATAACATTTTATCTACATAATTACACCTTTCCATACTTACGTGTAATCTTATTTGTATTTTTGTATTTTAAGATTGTTTAATACGGCTAATTAACATTTTACATTCGCATTTTATAAGGTCTACTTATTCATAATTTTAAAGATTTTAGCCCTTTGGTATTACTTATACTTTGTAACGTTAGTATAGTTAGAGTGTATAACTTTTATATAAGTTAAGATTCCTACTTGTTCAATGTATGCACCGTCCCGCCATAGTGAATTCCTTGTTTGTGCAAACTTACATGGCGATTAAAACCGTTTCTGATTCTGATCTTCAAAGTTCCCTGTGATGCAGACAGCGTATATTTAATGGTTAATATACCTGCAGTACTTACCAGGGAGATTTGGTGCTTTAACTGCAAATCTCTGTAACAAGTAGCAAATGCTTGGCGATGCTGCTATTGTTATGAATTAGAATGTGCGAGTGTCATTGGTGTGACTGATAACATTTCTCTACACTTGCAGGATCACTGGGTATGTCAAACCGCGACAGCTACTTCTATGCAGCAATCGTGGCAGTGGTGGCGGTGCACGTGGTGCTGGCCATGTTCGTTTACGTTGCATGGAACGAGGGCTCTCGGCAGTGGCGTGACGGAAAGCAGGACTGATGACTCAAAGTGGAGGTCCCTATCCAGGTTGGGAGACAAGATCGTGACCTGCAGGTGCAAATGTCGAGACTGCCACAGGAGCAGCAAAGCTGTTCATAGTTCTAACGCTGCTGACAGCCTGTGTAAATTACCACCTAACGTTTTAACGGAGCATTCCGAAATCATAAAATCATGCAACATACTGGGGAAATATCAGGTGGCTGCTTGGTTATAGGTGGTATTTAACATGTTTCTTTCTGAAGAATATATGCGGATTGCAAATAGGAAATACTCAAATTCCAACTGTTGTTTATTTGTTTTGCCGTTATGGTTTCAGTAGGTGGCGCTCTGTTTTCTTGTAAAACAGAAGCCTCCATATTTGTAAATCAAGCATTTTTTGGAACGTTATCGCCTGAATGTTGTGTCCAAGTGTTATATATTGTATGTCGTAATTGGTGACCCCTTTTTCCCAACTTTCCAATTAAACATACTGAAACCATATCTTTGAATGCTTTTTATTATGTATACTGTCTGAAATAACATCGGGCAGATTTTTCTGTGAAGTGTGAGAGATGACAATTTTTCTATAAAACACCACAGCTGGCCGTCAGCCTTAAGTGTCAGATACCAAAAAATAGATCAATGACTGGTTCAAGATGCTTGTTATGAATTTTGGGGTGAATGTTTTTCCTTACTTTGTCTGCATTGGAGTGAGTTCCATTCTTTGCAATATGCTCATCTCAAGAGGTTTGTCATTTTAAAGGAATTCGTTTTCAATCTTGATTTAAACGTGCATAGCTTTAGTGGCTTTCCAATATTTGCTGCCTGGTTGTAATATGGATGTCTGGTGTAGATATTTGAAGACAGGATTTTCAAACATTTGAACGTGTACAGCTTGGAAAATATGTAAACGTATCTGTAGTCGTTTACAACTTAGAATGACATGTTTTCTGCCATGCCTTGTAATCAAAAGATTATTATTTCAACACCATATACATCTTCAACAGTTTGTAGCCAAAAAAACCTCAAAACAATATCAGTAGTGTCCTTGCTTGACCAGAATAATATTTCGATTTAAAGCTTTCGTGACTGCAGTGATTCATCTTCTTGGTTCTTTCTGTAAAGTCACGTAGAAGGGAAGTAATAAAATAATAAAAATAAAACATAATAAAATAATTCTCACGTGACTTTACAGAATAATATGTTGTATGGCAGTATTAGCAAACATAAAAATACACAATAGGCAGTAACTTATCAGTTGGCGGGCCTATTGGGTAATTCCTATGATGTGTGACGATGTCATATTGATATTTAGCTAATCGGGGGTGGGTTGGTGGAGCATGCAGGGATGGGGACCATGATACACCTACTGCACAGTAAGAAGCCTGGTTTCAGAAGTGTGCAGTATTCTCTGCTCGTATGTGTTGATTTACCTCCGGGCAGTTGATTTTCTCTCGCAAACTCAGTGCACAAAGGATTTGCTTTTCTATCCTAAGGATCATGATGGTTTTTACATTAGAAAGTCCAAGTCTAAATACTTTCAGAGAGGTTCCTGCTACATTGAAATGTTTATTATTTCAATGTGATTTTTTCGGGCCTTGTTTTGATCATTTCAATTTTAATAGGGTTGTTTTGACAGCAAGTACTGTATTACAGTCACTTAGAAATCTAAATAATATTCACATCATCTCTATTGGAAAATTACTTGGAAACTTTAAATGCGCTGTGCAGCTTTACACATAGTACACTTTTTAAAGACTTCGCTAATGGACACTGAAAACGCTTTACTGCCATGTCAACTGGCTGTGTCCGGTTGGTGGTCGCAAGCTGTTTGTGGTAGTTGTACGTATGCACTAAACCAGTGTACAATTTTAGAAGTTATCTATATGTTGTAAAAAAAAATGTTCTCACAAAGGAGGCTGTCATGGTTTAGATAGGGGATGCACTCTGCTGGGTAGACTCCTGTTAATGAGTCAACCGTCATAATTTTGTTTTTTCACTTGTAAGATCAGAAGAACTTGCACTTTGAAATCCTGTACTCTGGGGTGTGAAAATGGCTTGAGATAAGGTTGGGCAAGGTTGTTACTTTAGTTCATTGCCAAATTGTACGCAAGCACAGGTTACATGCAACCGAGTTAGAGGTTTTGTGGGGAAGATATGCAAGGTGCGCACATGCCTCTGAGTTCTTGATTGAAAAGTGGCTCCGATTTGTGAAATGTGTGCATTAATAAATTGTGTTTATTATTTATCACAGGGAAAATGTACGTGGAGAATTGTTTTTTTGAATTATTAAATGAATCAAATACAGCTACAGTGCTGTATGATTTGTAATTGATTTTGTGAATCATAACGTAGGTATCGAAAGCCTCTGTGTTTAATTTAGAGTGATGTACTTTATACAAAGAGTTAACAGTTCTGAAGACATTTTCCTAACAACATGTTGGATCCTGGTGAATAGTCTGAGCAGATGTATTTTAACATAATAGAGATAATTTGGTGTCTGCTGGTGGACTCTTACGTGGTTCATAGAACATCAAATTTGGATGGTTTTAGAAATATGTAATATGACAATCATTCGTGAGAGATGTGTTCACCCTACGCTTAGCAGTGCATAGCTGTATTATTGAGTGCTTGACAAACCCGATCCATTTTTTTTTCAGGTGTCTGTATTTTAGTTTTGTATTTATGTACCTGACCATTTCTCAGATTTATCCACCTAGGGCAGTTACATGTAAATTTAATTTTCATCAGACCCATTGTTTAAGGTGCAGTCTTTGTCTTGACTCTCTATTTGCTATGAAGAAGGATCATTGTCGGGAACGTCACCTATTGTATATTTTTTTTCCTTGTAAGGCCACAGCGTTATGATATTGATGAATGTTCATCATAAAGTAGGTATCCATACTGAACAGCAGGGGGCAGCGCTGCTTCTATCGTATGGCAAATCAGAAAATCACGCGTCCAAGTTTTAAGTCTGTGAACCATGCGATAGCTTCGGGACTAATACTGCTCAGTCCGCTGGAGAGCGGGCATAGGATGCAGTGGTTCGCAATACGGTGGTTCCATTGTCTGGTTCGGGCGGCCCGCAGTCAAACTGTGTGTTGCCTTTAATGTTCCACTTGTGGAGGAGGTGTGACGCATCGACCAGTTGCTGTTCTGAAGCTAAAGATGAAGCACCGTAGTTTTCTTGGCAGATCAAAGGCGTGCAGGGCGCGCAGAGCCTTTTTGATGTTAATGTAATTTTCAGCAGAAACTGGATTCCTATAAAAAATAATTTATATGGGTCGTGCACAATATTATGTTAGTTGGAATCATACGATATTTGACTGAAATCAGTTGTGAAGTGACTTGACAATTCAGTACTATACTAGAAATTCAATTTAGACGAAAGCTATGCTTTTTTTCTAGGATGTGTACCGTACTTTATACTCAACATGTGTATTATGCACGGGAAAATATGAACAAATAACATCGCAGAATGTACGAGACAATACAATTGAGAGGGGAAAAAAATAATCCCAAGTCATTCTGGAATGAATGAATTGTATGCATTGCGTGCAGTCTTTTCACATCAAGTTTTGTTTTTGAAGGTTTTTCAAAAACAGAACCAGTCCAATAAAAAGGATCGTCACGTCCGGTATAAATGAGTTATAATGTAAAAGGAAAACCCAAGTCCCTATCCCCTTCCCCCCCCCATCTCATAAAAATTTTCACTCTTCCCCTTCCCTACACGGGGTTCCCACTTGGTTGGGAGTAGCGGGCCCCTATCTCACCTCTCCTGTGACTGTTCTGGACGCGCCGATTGGAAATTTCTGAGGAAAGAGGAGTATAAAAAAAAGACGAAGAGAGAGTGACAAGCAGTACGCATATCGCGGGGTAAGATGATCAAGTCGACAGTGGCTCAACAGAGGGGGGGGGGGACCACGCTTTCCCGATTCGCAGTCAGCGAGCCCTGCTATAGAGCTCCAAGTGGCGTGATGGCCCATTGAAGTTTATTCATGAAGGGGGTGTAAAAATGACGGAGGAACAATGTGTAGTATCGTGAGATCACTTGGTTTCGTCCGTTGATGTTCATGCCTTTGATAGAGCAGGTGGCTGAGTATGAATTAAAGGGCATTTGTAAATCACGGAATAAAAAAAATCCATACATTGTATCTGCATATCACTATTGACAAATCAATTCTCCACTTACAAAAGCAAATAGCCATAATTTGCTTCGCACACTGATCCACTTCCTCACTTTTAATTGATTATGGCAAAATCAAGGATTTTGGACTGATACACCTTGTAAAAATGTCAGACTAGCGGCTATGGTTTGGTTGTGTAACCTTACATTCAATGTTACGTAATTTGTGTTCAAGCTAGTATAAAGCAACTAACAGCGCACAAACATGAGGCTGTACTAATGAGGGGAATGAAAACATAGTTTCAACAGCAAAAAGTGGTCTTTGCACTCACCACCAAGTTGTTTACACAGCCCACAATTATGACATTTCGCTGATTATGTAAGTTTTTACCAAAGCACTCGAACGTCACAGTAGTTGCATGAATTTATTGTAGGTTAATCATCTAATGCTATCTTTGACATTTGCCACATCACCCCCATCTGACCACGTGTCTTGTTGCACCGAGTACTCATTTAGAATCGACATGCGTCTACGAGTATTTGGCTGCTATAAATTTCCATGTGATAATCCACTTTGTTGCTATCATTTGTGGCCAGGTCGCATCTGAAAAAGAGCTATATAGCTCAGTAAGCCTTACTTGTTCAAATTAAAGTAGTTCGTCGGTTTTTAAAATAAAAGTCACTTATTTGGGCTTAAAGACAATAGCCTACTTGAATTATATTAAAGGTGTTTTATGTCCATGCTATTAATGGTCAACGGTAAGTATCAAACTACTGACTGCTCAACTAACCCTGTAGTAAACAGTCTGACCACTAGTGTCTTCAGCGACCTTTGACAGTGTAATGTAAGACAATAGAATTATACGGCGTACATGAATGGGAATATGAAAAATGTAACTGTAATTTGCATTCGGTTGTCGAACGAATACATTGTAAGGTTACACACGCAATACCTTACTGATCTCGTCAAGGAGCATAAACCATCAGGCTAAGTCGGTCCTCTTCGCCAGCGGCTTTTGATTAACCATGGAACAAAGATGGTCACCACATCGTGTGCTTTCAGATGCACTTCTGAGGCCACCTGGAATGCTCTTCCGATATTAGGAAGCCACTGGATCTATGCACTTTCAAATCTAGATTGAAAACTAATTTCTTTAGAACTGCTTTTTATGTTTCGTTTGTTCTTCCCCCGCACCTCCAATCAGCATGGTTGGCTACGTATGGTGCGAAAGAAGTTCAACATACGTTGAACTTTCATTTGCCTCGCTGAGGCAAGATTAGCATTATTGATACAGTACTCCTTAAAAAAATCACCATATATACTCGCGTTTCACAACTTCATAAAACTCATTTCCAGGATCTTCATTTCTCTCAT